GGCGGATAGGGGCGGGTCGGGGAGGCCGAAAAAGACTCTGCAGACCGCATGATGGCCGCGGTAATGGGGTCGTCTGGGCGAAGAAGGTGAGGGGGGAAATATCGCAGGGCCGGGGGTCAGCGGCAGGCAGGCCGGGGTGCTATCAGGGGTCCAGTTTGTCGGGGGTCCCAAAGTGTGTGCTGAGGGGGCATATCAGATGGACAGGCAGTTTCAAGCACGATGGGGCGATGCTGCACCACTCCTGAAGCATGCACGCCCCCTACCCCAGAACTCCCAGGGGCCTTGCTGGGCGACGACGCTGAGCTACGCGCTCATCCAACTGCTTACCCCTGTCCGGGATGACCACCCGAACTGAGTCATGGCACCCCTTGCTCGTGAACGACAGCCCGCCTCGCCGCCCCGCCCCGCAGCCCCCGCCGCCGGCCCCAGCCCCGCCTGGACCGGCGCCGCTGGCCGGCCGCAAGGCGTCCAGGCGCCCGCTGCCCGGCCGCGACCCGGCCAGGCGCGAGCAGCCGGGAGGGCCGCACCCGCCGCCGCCCGGCAGGTCCCCATCATCCGAGTAGCCCGCCGCGCTGAGGTCAGACACCTCTGTCATCCCGCCCTCCTGCACAGCAAGGTTGGCGACCATGTGCCCTCAGCGCTGCAGCATCACATAGGCAGGCTGCGGCTTGCCAGCAAGCGCTGCAACATGAACAAAGCATTCTGGCCGAGTCTCAGACGTCGAGGCAAGCCGGATCTAATTTTGCAGGCGACGGCCGTGCAGAGCTTGACGTTGCCTGCAGTCAACCCTGTGCACGGAACCCAGGTCAAGACCAGCCCCGCCCCCAGCGAAAGACGCACCGAGTCGCTCGACCCCCGCCGCCCCCCCTGCCCGCCCTCGCCCTGCCGCCTGCCGCCATCCCGCCTGCCCCGCGGCAGCGCGCCGCCCAGACCCTGGGAGCTGGGGCCGGCGCCGGCGCCGCTGTGCGAGCCGTCTCTTGACAGCTCTCCGTCCAGGCCCGACGCCCCTACGGATCCGTTTCCGGCATTTTCCAGCAGTCACGGTGCAACGTCAGTGTGCAAACAAAACCACGTGCGCCCGGCATGGAAGGGCACGAAAGGATGCAGGGTACATGCACAGCGCCACATGCGTGGCGCCGTGTGCGCAAAGTCGACGCGTCGGCCGCGAGCGTGCGTGGGTGGCGCGTGCTGGCTGCTGTGCGCACCCACCTGCCACCACCCAGGGGTGCCTGTTGAGCTCATCCCAGGCCATGCGCTGCGCGGGGTCCACCGTAAGCAGCCGCCGCACCATGTCCCGCGCATCCTGGCTGACGTGCGGCGGGAGGGAGGGGTAGGCGCCCCTGCCAGGGGGCGTAGACAAGCATAGCGTGGAAGACACCTTCTGTCAGTCATTAAGAGGCCATGGCACCGGCCTTGAAGTGTTGATTACCGCGTTGTCGTTCACACTGTTTCAATTGTTGGTCATAAGCAGCAGTGGTGGCAGCGCTGGCGGCAGCAAGCGCAGCTGCAGCAGCAAAGCAGCGGCAACTGCAGGCTTGCGCCATGCGCGCGCGGCCCCACCTCTGGATGGCTCGGAATAGGGCCCCCTGGCTGGAGCCCCGGAATGGCAGCTCCCCGCTCAGGGCCTCATACAGCAGTACCCCCAGGCTCCACAGGTCGACCTGCCAAGTGGGGTCAAACAGTCAAAGAAGTCAAACGCCCATGTAAGGCGCGCAGGAAATTGGTTGACAAAGATTTGATCGGCCGCACTCTCGCTCATTGAGCGTTCGGTCCATCTTAACAAGGCAGGCAAAAATGCTTTTGTGTGCCAGGGCTTGGCCTATGCTTCTGATGTCATTGTCAACCTCAGTCCCGAAGCCTTCCGCCCGCGACGTCGGGTTCTTTGCCCCTCCATCGAGCCGTGCCCGGCCGTCTCACCGCCTGGCCGTCGTACTCCTTGCCCCCCACGATCTCCGGGGCGGTGAACTCGGGCGTGCCGCACTGCGCGTTGAGCGCGCCCTCCGCGGGCGCAGTCACCGCGGCCAGGCCGAAATCGGCAATCTGAGCGGCGCGCGGCGGGGTAGGGGCAGGGCGGGGGTGCATGGGGAGGTGGTGATGCGGGGCGGCGCCAGACGACACCAGGTGTGTGTGCGGACAGCCGAAGAGGCAAGCTGTCGGTCCTGACATGGCAGCCCGGGCCCTGGCCGCTACTTCTCCCTGAATCCCTGGACCCAACTGAACCCCGTTGTTGGCCCCTGGTTCCCCACCCCGCAGCAAGCCAGGTGGCGGCATCATAATAATCAGATCAGATCAGATCAGATCACCTTGATGTTGCCGGCGTCATCCATGAGGATGTTCTCCGGCTTGAGGTCGCGGTGCACCACGCGCCTGCAACAGATCGCGCAAACAGGTGAGCCAGCGCCACAACGTCGGCGCGCGCTGCCCACGCAGCGTTGTCGGGGGCCAGGCAGCCGCACACTGCTCCTTGTTTTGCACACCACGATTTGCCAACCACCACCTGCGAGGGCGCAGCGACCCTGTTCGCGGCGCTCTGATTGCAAGGCGCTGGAAAGAGCGCTGATGCGCAGGCCGTTTGACCACTCACCGCTTATGGCAGTACTCGAGGGCGGACGTGATCTGGAGGAAGATCCGCAGCGCCTCCGCCTCGGGCAGGCCGCCCTCGCTGGGGGGTCCGGCAGCGATGTGGGGTCAGTGGCGCGACCGCATGCCGCTCGGCTGCAGCGCGCCCACCGCAGCCATCACGTCGGCCGCGGCTGCACGGGCTGCGCCTCTCCTCGCTGACACTGCCAGTCTACAGGCCCCGCTCGAGCCCCTGCCACTGTCTACAGACGGCAAGGCGCGTGCGGCCACTGGTCCCCGCCCCTCTCGCCCCAAATAACCCTCGCTCGCCCTCACCGCCCATAAATGTGCTCCACCAGCGCTCCCCCTCCCCCCCCCCCCAAAAAAACACGCCGCTCCCCCCTCACCGTCCATATATGTGTTTCACCAGGGCGCCCCCCTCTGCGTACTCCATCACAAAGTAGAACACCCCGGCCATGAAGTGCACCTCCAGCAGGCGGATGATGTTGGGGTGCTTCAGGGCAGACAGCACAGACGTCTCCTCCTGCACCTGTTTGCGTGGAGGCGGGGTGAGAGGAGGGCAGGCACTGTTTGTGGGGGATAGAACAAGCACTGCTTGTGAAGGGGAGGACGGCGGCTTAAACTGTTTGTGGGAGGTGGAACAAACACTGCTTGTGAAGGGAGGAGGCAGTACTGTTGGTGGGGGAAGCAGGCAACGGCGCCGAGGACAGAGGGGACGGGGCGAGGTCGAAGCAATGGTGCAGGTGCCTATTTGCGGCGTCACTGCAGGAAGACTCGGGCTGGAACAAAAAGTCCAGGGAGCCATACATAAATCACGGTGTGCTGCCCACAGGAGGTCCCCTCTGCAGCTGAAGGTGTCGCTCCACGTCGCCGCCACAAGCAGCCTGTGGCAGCCACGAGCCAGCGGGCCTGTGTGTGCAAACATGCACCCGCACCTGCTCTATCTCGGCGAGGGACCTGAAACGGGTCGCGTCGACCGTCTTGATGGCCACCAGCTCGTCTGAGGGCGGAGGAACACAGGGCGCGCGGCATGCGGGCGTCAGGGGCCGCTTTCACCGCCGGGCTTTCCACTGCCCGTGCGCGCCTGCTTCCTGTGAGATCAGCCCAGATTCAGGGGTTCAGGCCTCATGATGCCACCTCTGCTTGCTTGGAGGCCCCCGGCCAAACCCGCAGACCTCAGCCGCCCTCTCACCTGTGGCCGGGTTCTTGCCCATGCGCACGACCCCGCTGGCGCCCTGCCCGATGACCTTCCCGACCACATACTTGCCCAGCCGCTTCAGGCGGGCGCTGGTGACGTCAGCAACCACCAGCAGCCGCCAGCTGGCGCCGGCGCCGGTCGCCCCGCCTGTCGTGTTGTCGCTGGGGCGCGAGCTCGCTTCGCTGCCGTGCGCCGCCGCGCATACGACGGCGCCACTGTTGCCGCTGCCGGTCGTGCTGCCTTCCTTGCCGCTAATAGCACCACCACTGCTGCCCCCCACATCCTCAGTCTCCTGACCCTGCTGCTGCTGCTGCTGCTGCTGCTGCTGCTGCTGCTGCTGCTGCTGCTGTCTACTGTCAAGCGGCGCCTGCCTGCTGCCCTCGCCCGGCTGCTGCTTGTTGTCTGAGCGCTGCTGCTGCCCCGCTACCGCCTGCGACGACAGGGGGCACGCATACACCAGCGTCCAGAAGGGGCTGCCATCCCTCCTGTACAGCAGCAGCTTGGCCCACGCCGCCTTCCCAGTCAGCTGAGCCGCCATCAGCTTGCGCATGCCGCTGCCTGCGGGTGAAAGGAGGGTGTGTCATGGCGATTGACAGCCAGTCAACTGGAGTGTAACTGCAGGAGCAGTCGGTGACACAAGCAGGTGCCCAGTACCCGCTCAACAGATTTCAATATGCTTTGGCACAAGAGCAGGGGCGCGTGATCAGAACAACAACCAAGCAGTCACCTGCGGTCTCTGGCCCTGCCAGGCACAGGCAGCTGCACCCCGCGAGCTCGCCGCTGCCCATCCCTGTCAGCTGCTGCGCCGCCGCCGACACCGCCACGACCGTGCAGCTGCCGCAGCTGCCGCAGCTGCCGCTGCTACGCCTGCTGTCGCCATCCGTGTCGTCTGGGGCTGCTGCGCACGCGGATGTGTCCGGCAGGCAGGCGTCCGTGATGATGTGGGCCCCCAAGGTGGACCGCACCTGCAACAGGAGCGCACACAGCGAGCCAGCCACTTCAACAGGGGCTTGGGCTCTCAGAGGGCGAACGCCTGGTGAGCTCGAGCCAGCCGCTTTCCTGGCCTCATGTGATGAGTCATGACGTGACTGAGGTTCACCACGGGGCCGAGGCGGGCGGGCGGGCGGCACGCGTGGAACGGGGGACGAGGAGAGCCGCCGCGCACCTGCTCGCCCCACCGGGCCGCAAACTGCTGCCCGTCCGCGGCCGCCTCTGCGGCCGCCCGCTGTGCCCTGTCGTCCGGGTCGCACACAACCACCAGCCACCTCAGCAGGGCGCCGTCGGCGCCGACCACTGGGACGAGGCACGCCAGCAGCCTGGAAAGTGAGGGAAGCCGCCAGCGAAAGGCGGACGGTCACCGCCCTGCGCCTGCTGCACCTTGTCATGACAGCGTGCGAATCAACTCGACACACGAGTACCAAGGCCTAGTGTGCCGCGCTCTGCTGTGCACCAGCCGCGCGCGCGCGCCTTCACCTGAGAGTCCGCCCGTCCTTGCGCGTGAGGCTCGCTTCCTCAGGGCCGGCCGGCTCGCCGCCGCGCCCCTCCAGCGCCGCGGTGAGCGCGCTGCAGCACGCGCCGCCCCCCCCGCCGTCGCCGCCGCCCCCGCCGCCTGCCGCGGGCTCCTCCGCGGCGCCCTCCTCTTGGCTTGCAATGCTGACGTCATCCCTGCTCAGCTGCTGCAGAGGCTGGATCACCTGGGGCCGGGCAGCACGTGGGATGATTTTGGTGGGGTGGGTTTTGGAGTCAGGTGTGCAGGTTCTTGCAAGTTGGTATCAGGTCGCTTTGAGGACGCGGCGCATATTACCGGTAGAACTCAGGTGGGGTGGGCCCTAGCCGGCTGCGGCGCGCAGCCCTGATTGACGGCACATGATTCCCCCCTCAGCCGCACCTCGCTGCAGCTGCGCCCGACGAGCTCGGCCGCGGCAAACCCGCTGAGCGCCTCCAGGCCCGCGCTGACGTGGACGAGGGGGGCGCCCGGCTGGCTGGGGTCTGCGACTGCGCAACACGACGCCAGCGACTCGACTGCGGCTGTCGCGACCTCGTCCTGTAATCGTGCACGCAGCATGCAGGCCGCATGGGGAAGGGGGCAATGTCATGGGGGCAATGTTGCGAAGCGAGGTGCGCGGGGTGGCAGGACGGAGGCCGGCGCCGCGCTAAGCGCTCGCATTCAAATGCGAGCGCAGCGCTCAGGCTGGCTTGGGCCGGCCCCAGCTCACATCAAGGGCAAAGCTGCCGTCCTGGAAGCTGCCAGCGTGCGCCCACGGCCGCGCCGCCGGCCGCCAAAAAGCGGCGCCGCGGTCCCCTGCTGCTTCGGACTGATGCTGCTGCTGCGGTGTGGAGGACAGCATACGTTTGGCAAGAGAGGTTGCTGCTCCACGGTAGTATTGTTTGTGCAAGTGATGTTTGAAGAGGGGAATGATGTTGCTCAGCGTGCTGCCCCCCCACAAGGTCTGCACATGCCCTGGTGAGCCGCTAGGATCTGGTGGAGTTAGGGCGTGGGGAGCTGCCCCACCACACGGACTGGGCAGCAGGAGTCGACTCTCACTCCATACAAGTTCTAAAAGCTTCCTACCTGCAACGCTCGCGAACGCCGCCGCCGCCTTCGCCCGCCACTGGCGGAGCTCTGGGCCTGTGCCGCATCATTCGGCACGGGGGGCTTGCGGGACGCGGCGCCCACGCCGACACCAGGCGCTGGGATCCTGGTCGCCATGTTCCCAAAACCAGCTGCAACCCGCTAACGCCGCGCCAGGGCAGCCTTCCTTAATCTGACCGAGTTGGGCCGCCTGTAGATCGGGCGTGCTCTGCACTTGCGCGTCTCGCACAGCCTTGCGCTGCTGCATGCGGTGCTTGCTGTGCGCCGCTAGATTTTCGGCCCGCTGTCCCCCCAGCACACGGGCAAGCCCCTGCTGCCTGTTGCCTTTGGTACTTCTATGCGAAGTTGCACTTTGTGTACTGCTGAAGAGTGGGTGTCCCGGTTTTGGTCGCTTTGGTCAGCGGACGACGCGGCCCTGCATGTATGCTGATCTTTGCAGGTGTGCTATTCAAATCATCGCCTGTATAATCTATGTTCTGACCCCAGGCTGGTCTCGCGTTCAGCTGGTTCGAATCTGCTCAAGTTGTGCGGTGACACAGAACCGTACGCATAAGGAGGAACTCTCCGCACCTGCATATGACCAATGCAGTAAACATCTGTCTTGATTTTACCAAGTATTCATCGAGACGTAGCCTCGCCCTGCACAGCCCGCATCGCTCGGAGGCCTGCGCACGGTCTGAGCACGGTTCTTCCGATCATATACAAAAGGATATCGACAAGATGTCGGAGGAGTACACCAAGAGGCTGTGGGTGAGCAATGGGCCGCCTGCGGGCGCAGCCTGAGCATTTTCTCACGTCCCAAGCACGCAGGGGACTCCTACGGCCTGCAATTGTCGAGGCATAGATACATATAGCTTTTAAGGACCTGACTCAGCTCGCAGGGCTCCTACATTGGCGTGTGCCCGATGCGCCAACTCCGCTCCGCTGCACCCCCCTGCCGGCGGCCGCCGACCACCCGCCCGCTTGCCCTCTGCCACGCACGCGCCCACGCCCGCGACCCGCCATTGCCGCGGACCGTAGCTTGAGGAGGACTTGGCGGATGACCTGAAGTGGTCCATGATGGTCAAGAACGTCATGTACTCTGGGAAGAGCAAGTTCCAGGAGGTCGACCTCATACACACTGGGCCGTTCGGCAAGGTGGGCAAATTGATGACAGGAGCTGCGGGCAGCACGTGCACCCATGTGACATGAGGGGGCGGGGCGCCTGCAGTCGGGGCTGGGCAGCAGCTGTCCCTCAGGCCGCCAGGCGGGGAGCGCGGTGCGGCGGGATCAGCCTACGGCGGTTGCATGGGCCAGCGCGGCAGCGCCACCTGCCTGCCGCGTCCGCCGTCTTGAGCCGGGCCGGCACTCTGTGCCCGTCGCCAACACCTGTCAAAGATACAGCACGCAGCGCCCACACGCGCTGCGCCTCTCCCCGCTCCATGCTGACCTGCCTCGCCGCGCCGCGCCGCTTCACTGCGCCGCTGCTGGGCTGTGCCCCCAGACCCTGTTCCTGGACGGCAAGGTGCAGAGCAGCGAGGTGGACGAGTGGGTCTACCACGAGCTGCTGGTGCACCCCGCCATGCTCATGCACCCAAACCCAAAGACGGTGTTCATCTGCGGCGGTGAGCGCCTCTGCGGCCGTGGGCGCGCCCCCGCGGGTGTGGGACGCGCCGGCGCGCGCAGAGCGGCCGGCCCTGGTGCGAGGGCATGGATAGTACGAGCTGGGGCAGGCGGCCGCCGGCGGCGTCAGCCGGGGGGTCGCAGCTAAAGGCTGACGGCGACGCGTGCCCGACGGCCCCGGCGTGTCCCTGCCCCCGCAGGCGGCGAGGGCGCGACGGCGCGCGAGGTGCTGCGCCACAAGAGCGTCGAGAAGCTCGTGATGGTGGACATCGACCAGGTGGGGGATCTGGAGATTTCGGGGCGTGGTCAGGGACGCTATCCGCTGAAACAGCTGTCCTGTACCGTAACGATGACGCACACGCAGGGCAGCGGCGGCGGTGCAGCCGAGGCTCCCGCCGCAGGCGCTGCTGGGTGGCGGGGCGCGTGCGTGTGCCGCTGAGGTGTCCGCGGCCGGCGTGCACCCCCTGCCAACGCACAGGTGGTGTGTGACTTTTGCCACGCGCACCTGGAGGTGAACAAGGGGGCGTTTGAGTCGCCAAAGCTGGAGCTGATCCACGACGACGCGCGGTCACAGCTGGAGGTGCGCTTCGGGCGGCTGCTGCTGCTGCCGCTGCCACTACCGCTGCTGCTGCTGCTGCTGCTGCTCCTGCTGCTGCCGCTGCTGCCGCTGCTGCCGCTGCTGCTGCTGCTGCTGCTGCTGCCGCCGCCACCACCGCCGCTGCTGCTCCGGTGGTGGTGGTGGTGTGAGGTGGAGCATAAAGTGCGGGTTGGCAGCTGGGGCGCAAGGGAGCAGCATATGGGGCTGCGGTGGGGGGCGCGGGATGAGGGCTGGTAAGGTGATGGTGAATATTGCTGGCTGCCTGCCTGGTTGATTTGATGCAGCAAGGCTGGTGGGAGAACAAGCATAACCGCGTGCACCAACGGCCACTTTTTACTGCCTTTGGCACGCCGGCAAACAACATCAACCCCCGTGCGCCTCGACCCCCCTCAACCCCCGCCAAACAACAGAACTACCCGGGCAAGTTTGACGTCATCATCGGTGACCTGGCAGACCCATTGGAGGGGGGCCCCTGCTACCAGCTTTACACGCAGGTGTGTCGCAAGCGCCCAACCGACGCCGCGCATCGAAGAGACGGTCCCCTTGGGGGCAGCCGTTTCAGCCCCAATGCAATGCAGCATGCTGAGGCGGCCCTCCTGTCTTGCCGCGCAAGGCTCTGCTGCGACCCAGGCGCGCCTAACACAGGCTCAGTTCAACCACCGGCTCCCCCTGAAACTTCGCCACTCCCTCACCTCCGCCTCAGGACTTCTACCAGACAGTGGTGTTGGAAAAGCTCAACCCAGGCGGCATCTTCATCACGCAGTCGGGGCCGGCCGGCATCCTCTCATGCACAGAGGTGCGCGGCAGCGGCAGCCCAAACCCCCCGCCAGCCCAGACACCCCCTCAACGAGCATCCGCCGCTGCCATCCGCCGAGCTCCATCCCCTGCGCGCGCACGCCCCGGTGCCCTCACCCCGGAGAGGCGCCTGACGCTCCCCTCCTCCGTCCCCGCCGCCGGCCCCTGCGACCTGCTCAGGTGTTCACGGCCATCAACAGCACCCTGCGCAGCGTCTTCCCGCGGGTGGTGCCCTACACGCAGCACATGCCCGTGTTCTGCGACGTCTGGGGCTACAACCTTGCGCTCACGGACCCTAGCCAGGTGCGCGGCGGCTTCCCAACAGCTTCCTGAACAGCGGCGCGCACGGGCGATGGGGCGTCGTGGAGTGTGGTGGAATGGAGTAGCCAGCGGCTCAGGCCGCGGCAGCGTAATTGTGGAGATGCGAGTAGATGTTGTGTAGGGCTGCGGTTGGGTATCAGGGCGATCTAGGCCCTTTAGAAATCTCACGGCCCCAAGGTCAGGCCAGGTGCAGCCTCTGTCCGTCCTCTCCTCCCGGAAGCAGTCCCGTGACCGCGCCTCGGCGTCGCACCTTGCAGGCGGACATTACCCCCGAGGAGATGGACGAGCGCATCGCGGAGCGGATAGAGGGGGAGGCGCGTTTCCTGGACGGGGCCACTTTCAAGGTGGGCACAATGCAGAGTGGGAGGCCGGGGCGTTAGGCAGGCAGGGCGAACCTCCCTTGTGTTGCGGAGCCTTGCCCACGCACACGCCTGCCCACGCATGGGCGCGATCTTGCGGCCCCCATCGCCTGACTCTCGTGCGTGCATGCAACCTCTCGCCCCGCCACCTGCCAGGGGCTGTGCTCGCTGAACAAGCACCTGCGCGGCTGCCTGGCGGCGGAGACCTCGATCTACACCAAGGACAGCGCGCGCTTCATCCATGGCAAGGTAGCCGCCTCGAACTCTGCCGCGGCCACCAACGGGGCCAGCAGCTGAAACACCGTTCTGCGCTAGGCCAGGCGTTGGCGCGAACCCACACAACCTCAATCCTCCTGCCCTGGATCCCTGACGTCTCATCTCCATTGTTGACATGCGCTTGCCTTGCCCCTCGCCCTTGTTCCACAATGGGGCGCTGCGCTTTGAGCAGCCACATGACGGCCTGCTACGCGTGAGGTTCCGCATCTGGCGCGCGTCGCCTGGCACGCTGGCATTCCTTTTTATTCGGCGCGGGCGGGCGGGCGGCCGCGCCACTGGGCATGCTCGCGCCCATTTTTGTTTCTGCACGGCTGTGCTGTAAAGCAGCAGCAACGCGCCGAAGGGGATGTCACAAGTTAGTGATATAACCGCTATGCAGGGCGCCCTGGAGGCTTGGATGTTCTGCTTGCCAGTGGGCACAAAGGAAGGATAGGATAGGGGGCTTTTTTGCCAATGCGTGAACAGCACCCCACCCGGCATAATCCCAGCTGTGATGTCTGCCCCTGCGCACTGCTGCCCTCTAGACTGCTGCTCTGCTTCTGCTTCTGTGCCCTGCAGCGTGTTCAGAAGACTGTCAAGTAAGTTGGGTGTGGAATCCTTACACAGGATTGCCTTCAGTTCCATGCCCGACGGCTGTGCACGTACCAGTGCACAATCTGGAGGGATTGAGGTTGTCAAAAGGTGTTGAAAACAAGGGAGGCTCTTGCAGAAACAGCAAGGGGTTGTGATTGAGTTGTAGCAAGCCGAGGTGCAGCATGCCATGGTGACAAAACCACCGTCTCTGCTCGCCCAGCGAGCACGTGCGGTGACGTGCACGCAATGTATTGATGGGACTGGCGTAGAGCGGACGAAAACCGCTTGGTAATCAAGTGGGTGGGTGATTGATTTATGATTAAGCACCAGCAAAGACTGCGTGGGGTGTAAAAGGCTGGCAAACAGGGAGCGGTATCTTCAGCATGCCCACACAGACAGACGGGGTCGCGAGCAGGCTGCGTCCCCGAATCGCCGATGCAAAAAAGCCATCAGGTGTCATGAAACCGCGCCGCCACTGCCACTGCCGCCGCCGCCGCGGCCGCCCTCCTTGCGGGCGGGAGGCGCGCGGCTGTGCGGACGGGGTAACTCCTTGCACCATCGGCCGCGCCACCCTCCGTGCGGCTTCACCTGCGGCGCTCGATCTCACCCGTGCCAGCCATCATGCGCTCCACCTCGGCCGCAGGGTTCTTGGTGTCAGCTGGCATGATGTTGAAGGTGTCCACAAGGATCTGCAGGGAGGACATCAGGGAGCGGTTGGTCGGCGGTTGGGCGCGGGGTCTAATAAGGACAGCCTGACAGCAATAATACTAGTGACCGCCCCGCTTGCTTGACACACAAGGTGGGGCTTGTTGATAAGCCTTGGAGTGGGTTTTCGACGCTCTGGCAGACATAGCACATACGCCAGGTGCAGCATCATGCTGCATAATGATTATGGCCCAGCTGGCGAGGCAAATGGGGGAGGGGCGCACCTGGGTGGCCTGGGGGGTGAGGAAGGCGGGCAGGTTAGGGCCGAGGCGGATGTTCTTCACGCCAAGGTGCAGCAGCGTCAGGAGAACGGCCACCGCCTGGGGTTGCGGAGGGTTTGCAGCATCGGATGGAGTCATTGTGTCAGAGACCAGCGAAAACACTGGGTGATCGCAAACACCATGATCCAATCGGTGCCTCACGGCCACGGCAAGGCAAGCAGGCGGTCCCGCACAACGGCATTCCCCTACAACTTGGGAACCACACTACCGGCTCAGAGCAAGCCGCGTGCCAGAGCTCTGCCTGGTGACCAGATTGCGCGTGGCTGCCCACCTTCTGCTCGAACCAGCTGATGTCCAGTGAGAGGGGCAGCGCGTTGACGTCGGTGTCCAGTGCCTTGGCCAGCTCCGTGGCCACCACCAGCGCACTGTACGCGTCGTTGCACTGACTGGGGGGCGGGGCGGCCGACGAGTCGGGGCAGTAATGAGTGGGGGCGCTGGGGTTGACATGCTCACTGAACAGCGGATATGCATCCTTGCAGCCAGGAACCATAAATCAACTGCCTGGTGCGCCGCTCAACAGCCTGAGCCTCACCAACCCAATGGCGGTGCGCGAGCACCTGCCCGTCAACTGCCCAGCACGCCCCTACCTGCGTCGCCGCAGACGACACTCGCGCGCACAACAACAAGAGGCTGGGCGGCCCCTGTCCATTCCCAACCCCGCCGCCCAAAAGGGACCCCCGAAACCCCGCCCGTGGCACCCGCCCACCCCATGTCGAGCAGGCGCGGCAGGCCGTTGGGCAGGGTGCCCATGTCCTGGTCGTAGAAGCGGTACTTGCCGCAGCCCAGGGTCAGCACCATGGTGTCCTGCGGCAGAGACCTGACCACCTCTGGGGGCGGGGACAAAACAGGGGGAAGGGGGGTGGTGGGGAGGGTTTTGAGATGCCGGTTTGAGACAGGGGTAGCCATGGCGGCGACGCGGGGGGGACGTCCTGCACGATACAGAGCGACAGAGCGGCAGGCAGGCAGGGCCTCCGCCCGCCCGGGGTGCGTGCCGCGGCACGCCCTCAGGGGGTCGATTGCTTTGCGAGAGCGGTTCGCTGCATATGCGGTGCAGCAAGGGGCGGGCCTGCGGGCGGCGCTCACCGGTGTAGTACTTGCGGGAGGGCTCGGGGGCGTCGCAGCCGCCCACCAGGAAGATGTGGGACAGCTGCTTGTTCTGAGGGGGGAGAAGGCGGGGGATGGTGCGCGGCGCGGCGCGATGAGAGGGGTGGTGGTTGCAGTTTCGTTGACGCGGCCTGGTCCAACTGACATTGCCTTGCAATCTGGCAATTCTTCAGAAGAGTCACCTGACAGGCAGCGATTGCTGCTTTTGCCGCCAGCCAGGCCCCGCCTCACGCCAGCAGCCCTCCAAACGCGGCGGACCCCGTGTCTCTAGGGGGTCCTGCTCTGTGACAGGGGCCGCACCTTGATGGCGTCCAGCACCAGCCCTGCAGCCCCCAGGGTGGCCTCATGGCCAAAGCCGGTGGTCACGAACTTGGGCCTGAGGGAGGTGTTGCGTTGAATGAAATGTCAACGGTTTGCGGCGATAGGCACACGGCTGCTGTGCTCATCCAGCCACCATAATCTCTTCCTCTATCCCACCCAACGAGACTGGGTGGCCCATCCGCCCAGCAGCACCGCCGCGCAGACGGCCCGCCGCGGCCGCTCACTCCTCGGGCTCGTAGGTGAAGCCGGGGAGCTCCTGGGCGCACTTAATGAGGGCACTGAAGTCCTTGGTGGGGATGTGGGGGCTGCCGGTCACGCCGACCTCGCCGGTGGTAAAGATGCGGTCGGCGTAGGAGGTGCCGGCGGTGGGCATGATGCAGTTGGTGGTCATGAGGATCGCGCCGGGGAACTCTGTTTAGGGGTTTGGGGTTGGGTGTTTTTGGGGGGATGTGACATCAGCAGAGGCATGGCCGTAAGGAACACCGGGTGAGCACGTGGCCGCAGCACAGTTCAGCAACCCCGGCAGCATGGGAGGCTGGCGGCTAAACCCCACGCATGGAAAGCCGTGAAACAACCACCCTGGGTCCCCGCCCGCGCCCCCCTCACCCGCGAACTCCTTCTTCTGCTTGTACCATGCGCCGCCAAAGTTGCCCACCAGGTGGTCAAACTTCTTGAGGCCAGGGTAGCCTGGGGAGGACACGGGCAGGCGCGAGGGAAAGGGATCAGGTTGACCCAAAGGACTCCTCTGAACCACAGGGCAGCACTCAAGTTGTAGCACAATAGCACTGACCATGCATGGCCATTGATGCACCCATGCGAAGAGGCGACTCTCTGTCACCCACGCAACCCCACAAGGCGGGGCGGCGCCGAGTTATCCGATGGCCGCTGCATGCGAGCTTGCGCCCTGGTCCCCCTCACCGTGAGCGGGCAGCATCTCTCCGTGGGTGTAGACGTTGATGCCGGTGCCCTCGGTCTGAACCAGCAGGTCGTGGAGGTCCTGTGTGTGTGTGTGTGTGGGGGGGGTGATGATGAAGGGGGCCATTTTTTCACGTCAGGAAAGGGGGTCAAGAACACAGCCAGACCTGCGAGGTTTAATGATGTGTGCCTGAAGCCCTGGGATGAAGCATCGTGGTTTGAGCTTGTGCCGTGACATCGTCATGAGGCTGCAAGGAGGATTGCTGCTGCTAGCAGCTTGCTGCTACCAGCTTGCTACAAGCTGGCCGCATCGCAACCCCCCCGCTCACGCGTGGCGCGTGACGCCTGAGCGGCCTCCCGTCGGCACGTGTGCATACGCCCGGCCCCCACCTGCATGTCGTGGCCGCTGATGAGGATGGCCTTGCCCTTGATGGGAGTCAGACGCACGGGGCTGGGCTCGGGGTGGCCAAATCTGGGCGGGCGCATGCACGGGGCGCAGCACGCTCAACAGCGTCAGCCGAAAGCGCGGCACAGCGCACGGCCTGTACCCAGCAAAAGCAGCAGAGGCGCCTTGATGGTGCTCGCATGCGCGACTCCCCACCCACCCGGGCCCAGGCCAGCCCCCGTCAGCGCACCTTCCGGTGTGGCCCTTGTCCAGCAGCGCCATTACGCGGAAGTTGGTCTCCCCCAGCTTCATGGCCATGGCCAGCACCGCGTTGGGGTCCGAGCTGGCGGGGCTCGCCAGGAACGCCAGGACCTCCTGGCGGGGTGAATTGGGGTAGGGGGCGGCGCAGGGCGATGATGAGGTCGCGGGCAGAGGGAGGTGTGGATGGCAATGGTGTCGGTGAGCCACGCAGATGGCGGCAATCAGGGGTCTTCAAATCATACAGCATCAGCAGGATGAACAAGGCAGGACCGGCGCACAGCAGCTCAAACGGTGGACGACAAAATCAGCCCGTGCCAGCCAGCCAGCCAGCCCCCACCTCGAAGACGTCGTCCAGGGAGGCATCAACCTGGCCCAGCATCTGCGTGGTCGAATGGGGGTCGGCGGGTGGAGCCGGCTGAGCGGGCGCACTAGCAGCAGGGTTGAGCCGCAGTGGGGCGCAGAAAGTATCTGCAGAAGTGGCCCACGGATTGTCAAGATACCCGAGACCTTAAGAACTGCATATATAATCAGAAACATGAGCGTGAGGTTTGGCGTGTGCCAAACCTGTGCATGATTCAGATTAAGAGGATGTGGGGGGCTAGGGG